AGCTTTCTTCTAACACCTGCAAAGCTTTCACAGATTTGTTAGATTTTAAGGCAATTGACTTGCCTTTATTTTGAGGCTCATCTTCCTCAAGTTCAATTTCATGGCTCCTCAGTGAGGTGGTTAGTTCCTCCAAAGTGATCTTGTTCAGATCCTTAGCAAGCTTCAGAGCAGTGACCATTGGTCTCCATCTGATGGGAAAGCTTCTGATGATCTTCTTCACATGATCAGCAGTTGACTAGCCTTTGTCCAGCACTTTTAGACCAGCTGTGAGGATCTGGAATCTAGAGAACATAGTTTCTATAGACTCAGATTCTTCCATCTTGAACGCTTCATACTTCTGTATTGACGCCAGAGCCTTGGTCTCTTTAACTTGAAGGTTTCCTTCGTGAGTCATCTTCAAAGACTCAAACATGTCAAATGCAGTTTCTCTATTTGTGATCTTCTCATACTCAGTATGAGATATTGCATTTAACAAGATTGTTCTAGCCTTGTGGTGATTTCTAAACTCCTTCTTTTGGGCTTCAGTCATAGATTTTTTGTCTACTTTCTTGCCATTCCCATCAGTGGGATGAACATACCCATCTATGACCAAGTCCCACAAATCAGCATCATAACCAAGGAAGAAACATTCTATTATGTCCTTCCAATAATCAAATTTCTCCCCATCAAACATAGGGGGTTTTGTGTTGATTCTATCCCTTTCTTCATATCTGTTGTTACTGTTAGATGTTGAAGTTTCAGCCATAATAACAACCAAATAAATATCAAAGTTTTCTCACTGGATCTTTTCTGTCACTGTGAAGTGGTAGCACACACAGAACCGGAGTTCTGATGTCAACTAAAGGTGAGAAAATACTTAGAAAAGGGGGGTTGAATAAGTATATAGAAAAACTTATGGCAATAAAAACTCAAAGATGTTTATCCTGATTCGTTGAACTCAACTACTCCAGTCCACCCTATCAAGAGTGATTTGTCTTTCTCAACAAGGACTTAATCCACTATTTAATCAACTGATTACAATAGCAAGCACTAAGAACAACTGTTCTTAGTCTTCTCAAGAACTACTGATCCTAACTGGATCTTCTTAAGGTTCTTTTACAATCAAATGTAAGAATAATACAAGTGTTTAAATGCTTCTAATTAAGCTTTATCACAACTGTGATTTTACACTTAAGATTTAAGAACTTAGAAATAAATTCAGCAAAGAGTATAAAATTGTATGAGAGCTTTCTTTGAATTCTTTCAATATTTCGTCAACTGAAGAAGAAGGATAGAGTCTTGCTTTTATAGGCACAGATGTCCAAGTAGCTTTCACGTTGAAGGCTGTGTACTAAAAAGGTCTGAGCCTTTTTGTCTTCACATCACATGACCTTTCCTAGAAATAGAATGCACAGAGAAATCCTTTTTGTCTGTGTTCTTGTGTCTAGCATAAATGAGGAAAGAGTTGTTTGGCCAAACCAACAGACATAACTTTGAATTCTTCTTCAACAAGTTTCAGCAAATATCATCAGAGTCTTGAGTGGTCAGAGTCTTCTGATGTTCATCAGAGTTTGCTGAATCAGAGTCTTTGCAGCAAGTGTGCTTTTAGCGTGTAATTGTTCAGAGCAGAGTTTGGGATCAGATCCTCAGTACTGGCAGCGTAGTACTATCAGAGTCTCTTGAAATAAACTAAGCTTGAAATTCTTCATACAAAAGTCTTCAATGCTTCAGATGCTTCTGACTTCTGCTTCAGATTCTTCTGTAGCTTCTGCTTCAGATCCTTCTGTAGACAGCGCTCAGAATCTTCTGGAGGCAGCGTTCAAAATATTCTAAGAGATGCTTCTGACGCTTTAGAGCCTTGCATATTTTCATGTTCAGATCTAATTTGCTTCCAGAATAATATTCACTTTAATATCTGCAGCAAAAATTACTTGAACAAATTTTAGAGTATATAATTCTTTAATACAAAATTTCATAAGAGTTATCATCAAAACATAGAGATATAATTAAGAACCAACCTGTGTTCTAACAAAACTCCCCGCGCATAAACCTAGAACTCTCATGAAGGAACCACTGAAGTCCATGGTTCCCTCCGGTAACAAACGTCGTCGCGCCGTCACTACTCCAGGATCAACTAAAAACATATGGCTTGCTAATTTGCTCTTTCCTAAAAACGACCACTACGGCGCCGACAATAGAGAAAATGGTTGTGCCACCGTCTGCAACCAACAGCCACCACAAAAACGCCATAGAACTACCTCGTCTCAGCCCTAACCACATGCATTCTAAAACATAAAACCACCAGAAAAATAGATAGTGAGCATAGAATCGACATACTTGGTCGAGGAAGAAATTTATGGGTTTGAATAGCTCTAGTCGGACCTTGTACGGTGGCCGGAAAGAAACTGGACGGCAGCGAGCGGCGGAGAACGGGGAACAGAGAGCAAGAGGGGAGAGAAGCAAAAGTTCTGAATGAACAAACCCTCTCACTATTTATAGGCAAACTCTAGGCACGTGCACGAGCACGAGCACACGCGGGTAAGACCTCATCATGACCCTAGCCTAGCCATCATAATGCATTTAATGCAGCACACAGCTCGAGGCACACGTGGTACCCCCACTCTTCAGATCCCATCAACCATTGGACTCCCCGGACCTCAAGCTCCCCGACAACAACGTTTCAGATGCCCGGGCACAAATTCCTTCGGACACAAGGAAGCTTACGACGACTATTCCCGAAAAGCGGATTGTCCCTTGATCACAACACTTGTCCTCGTCAGTCTCTGTCCGTCACGCACGGTTCATCCATTTAGAAATAGCCAAGACGCTTGTGCCTGTAATACGCCTCTGCCCATAGCAACGGCTAGTTATGGACACGTCTTCCTGTTCCAACGGGTAGTTCTGCCAGTTACCTATTCTTCGAAAACGATTATCTCGCTCCAAAAATAGGAACCAATGGCCAAACATTGGGGGAACTATAAAAACCCTATCACTTGAGAGGGCCAGGTATCCAATATTCACCCTGAAATACTTACATTTTGTACTTGTTCTCTCTCTCTCTCTCTCTCTCTCTCTCTCTCTCTCTCTCTCTCTCTCTCTCTCTCTCTCTCTCTCTCTCTCTCTCTCTCTCTCTCTCTCTCTCTCTCTCTCTCTCCTCTCTCTCTCTCTCTCTCTCTCTCTCTCTCTCTCTCTCTCTCTTCTCTCTCTCTCTCTCTCTCTCTCTCTCTCTCTTCTCTCTCTCTCTCTCTCTCTCTCTCTCTCTCTCTCTCTCTCTCTCTCTCTCTCTCTCTCTCTCTCTCTCCTCTCTCTCACTCTCTCTCTCTCTCTCTCTCTCTCTCTCTCTCTCTCTCTCTCTCTCTCTCTCTCTCTCTCTCGTTTTCTTACTTTAACATCAGAGTGTCTTACAGGTACACCCCCTCATCCTCTTTCACACCCAGCATCACAAGCGCCTGTCTTTGGTCCACCTCAGATTCTGATCAACCGGTAAGATCAAAAATCATTGTTGATTTTTTTCTTCTAATCAATATATCAATACATAATATGTAGAATTAAAAATATATATTACGAAACAAAAAATAATAATATTACTTTCTAAATCTTGGAGCTTCATATAGTCAGACCTTCATTATCAAATTATTTAGGTCACTTCTTAGACAATTAGTTAACATTCATATGGTAGAACTTTGTGCTGATAATGTGTTATAAAACTAAATAAAACAATATAGAGATCAAAGAGAGGAAGGGAAGAGAGAAAGTAATACTATATTATCTTATGCAAAAGTACACTTTACATTGTAATGTGAATCTTCTTTATAGTACATGACCAATGAACAACCATTAATTTAAAAAATTCACAAAAGTTAAAAAATTAACTCATAAGAATTAAAGAATATAAAAAATTGAATAAATAAACATCCACGTCTATTTCCTATTATTCGTTACATGTTGCAAGTTATTAGTTTATTACTATGAAATATATGTTACAAGTTAAAAGTTGAATTTGAAAGAAAATCAAATTCAACTTCAGTCATAATAAAATATATGTTACAAGTTATAAGTTTATTACTATGAAATTTTTGTCATATAAGAGTTATAAATATTATCTATAATTTTTATGGATACAATAAAAATAAATAAAATTATTTTTAGTGTCATACTATTATTCAAAGTTAACTATTTAATCATGTTCAACACTTAAAACTCACATTTGACCTCCTCAATTTTACTATTATACTATTAGTCATACATTAGAAAATTAATCATTAGGCCAAATATAAATTATATGACCTAGTTAATTGTTGTTTTTTAAATTAATTTTTTTTATTCTTCTGAATTGAGTTATCGAGTTGAATTGTGTTCAATCTATCAAGTCGAATGGAGTTGTTGTTTGTGAATTTTGTTGAGCCAAATTTGAAATGAAAAAAGAGTTCATGATGAACTCGTGTCAATTTCAAGCTAATCCAATTCTTATTATGTCGAGTTAAATTGGACTGCTAGACTAATTTTCAACCCTACTCACCTAGAAAGTTTGCAAATATTAAAGGTGAGTTTAAATGATGTCCCCACTCACCTGGAAAGTTTGCAAAAATTGGAGGTGAGTTTCGAAGCAAATCCAAATGATGTCGTACTCATTATATATACAAAATTTGCTAAGCATAAAGAAAAGAGGTCATACACTCACACAATGTTCCATACTAGCTTGATCTGGCTTGGTGATCCATGAGATTTTAAATCAAAATAGTTAATCATACTAGAACTATGATGGCTAATATAAGTCCTACTCAAATGCGTTTTCTATATACATATTTAATTTTAAAAGCCACCAAAGGGCAGTTGAAAGATTAACAAATACTACAAGATGCCAAAAGTCAGTTATTCATTACAGTATGTTAAGATTGCTTTTTAATTAAATTAAATTAAATGGCATCAAACAAGGAGACAGAGAGATTACACAGATTATTAATCTGATTATCACCTAACATTACATTACAGCAGGTAAATACAAACTCATCTGGCAAAGATCAATCCGTTCGAATTCCACCCATGAAGGTCCTTGGATCGGGGCAGTTTCCACTAAATTGAGCTTGTGAAAAATCAAATCCCGGGTTCTGAAAGATGCACAACATAATCAATAAGAATAGTACGTAGATATAATAAGATTATCCCATTTAAACCCAAATAATGTAATGCGAGTATCGAATATCATAGTCAATTCGACTCAAAAGGAGAATAATTTCAGCGGTGTCAAAAACAAAAGGATAATCATATATCAGAAAACTTAGAAGATATTAAAATCCAAATAGTTTTCTATTAGTGAAATTATTTGTCAAGTTCATGAATTTCCTTCACATCTCAAATGGGAACAGCATGGCAAGTTGGTTAGAGAACCCATAATAATTATTCAAGAAAAGTTGGCATTGGTAGGTGACAAGAAACAAACAATGAATTGGAGCAGATCAACTTGCCAAGAATATAATAGCATATCATTTACTAGTAGGACAAGAAATACTTAAAACTGAACTCTTTGTTTTTCATCAATATGCAGAAGACAAAACAATTCTAATATAGTAGCAACAAACTTGTTGTTAGAGTATAATTGACAACTTCAGAAGCAAGTATTCCAATTTAACAACAAACTCATTGTTAGAATATAATTACCTTGGAACTAAAGATGAAATAGCGAGAAATGAATAAGGTTCGACAAAAGAGTATAGAAATCAAGTTTCAGACAAAGATACACCAAACAGCATAAAATGCAAATAAATCAACATTTGAATCCCATCACACGAAAAAGGGTTATACCGAAAGTAAAACTCACCTCCTCTTGAAATCTTTGAAGCATGAGGCGTTTCTGCTCAAGATCACTAGAGTAAGCATCCAACTGACCTTGACCTAATATAGGAGAAGCCCATGTCTGACCCTTATCTCTTTTATTCAAAGTTATATGCATTATGTCATCCTCTGCCATTCAAGTTCCAAAATCAGCAGCAAACGATAAACAAAACACTTAACCAAACCCAAATTAGTGTAAGTCTGGTTTCATGTTTGGAGCACTCAGAATCGCTTCTGGACATGTAGAGTTGATTTTAACATGTTTGGCAGCTTTCAAGTAGAATTGATTATACTTTCCATAATTGTTTCAATTTGAAGCTAGGATTTTGTAGCTTGAGTCTAAATATGATTTTTACACTAAAATTTATTATTCAACTCACTTTTACAGCAATTTATCCAAACATAAATAACTTTATATTCAACTCACTTTTAACCATAATCAATTTTACATAATCAATTCATTCAAAATTAATTTTCTTCACCACATAACCAAACACATGCTTAATCATTGTTTCATTTCAATTTTAAAAACACAAGCTTACCCCAATTAAACACAAACTTAACATCATAACACACATGCACATACACAAATATATGAATATACACAAATATATGAATATTAGGTCAAGTAAATTTTTTTACCAACCTAAAGTCCAAAACGAAGAATCTGTCTTCACCGGTGAACTAAGATCATGCTGAGAAATTAATCAACACACAAACAATAAACCCATGAGATAGGATTATAATTCATTATGGAAGATAATTGAAGGGAATGAAATTAGGGTTACATTGAGAAAGGGAGGATTGCCTTTGATGCCAAGTTCAATGTGTTTGGACTGAATCTTACAGTAAAATAGTTTGGAATGAACATTAGGAGGAAGATTAATGTAAATATCGACCTCTTCTAGGGTTTGATCCCATTCGAAAACCTTTTGACCTAAATCAACAATTGGATTTGCTTAAAGAATAACGAAACGAAATTGGAAAGATAGAGATTAGGGGAATGGAATATACCGTTGTGGAGGAAAACGTGACGCTTTTCCGGTGCCAATTTCTCTGCCATTTTTATCTGTTTTTGCTTCTTCTTTCTCGTTGTTTTGCAGAGTTGTTTGTTGTTCCAGGATTTGTATCCTATGCTTGGGTGATATCTACCGTGCTCTCTGTAGCAACAATCTCAGTCTTTAGATTAATCTAAGGGTTGAAAAATAAATAGGTGAAATGTTAAACTGTGGTGGCACAACAATTAGAGAAACTTCTTTATCTTGATCGAACGGCTTTAGTTTAAAATTGATAATTTTGAGAAAATCAAACAGTTAAAAAAGATTAACAACATTGTCGTTAAAAAAAACTACTAAAAAATATTTAGGATGTTTGTGTTTCAAGTTATAAAATCAGCACGGGTAAATTAATTTTGTTAATATAGATATAAGTATTTAAGAAATATGAAGAAAAAAAATGCTAAATTTCATTGTGTAAGAATAATGTGAAATGATAAAATAAAAATAGAAGAATAAAAGATTTGTAATATATACACACAAATATAATGGTAAAGTTGAGTAACAATGTCAAAGAAAAAAAAGGAAAGACATAAAAAAATAAAATAAAAATACAATATGTGTTATAATCATTCTTGATATTAGGTAGATTGTGAACCATGAATCTCTATAATGAACAAAATAATTTAACCTGTATAGAATAACATTTATATTAGATGACAACTTAAAATACCATTCGTAATAAACAATAAATGATACAAAACAACTTAATACCTATTAAATATTATGAATTTTTTTCTTGAAGACAACATTAGTGCACTACAAGAAAACCTGCATTTTGCTAAGTGATTTAGTGACGCGGTAAACACGTGGGAAAAAACACAAGTTGCGACATGTAAACCACGTCACTACATTATTTAATTAATAACTCTCTCAAATTTAAAAATTTTAACGTTGAGTGCTGTTTTTTTGGGAGGAAAATTTGAATTATTCAGAAATTAAGTTGTGGCGTGGTAACCACATGAGAATCAAATATTCAAAAATATCTTTATTTTTGCGACGTGGAGAACAAGTCAGAAAGTACCCACATGGTACCCACGTTGCAAATGAGAAAATATTAAAGTTGATCTGCATTTACTTTTACAGTTGTGACACATTAAAAATTGATTTGACTTTTACAGGTCTTCCCACATGATTCCCATGTCGCAAATGGGAAGACATTCATGTATTATTTTAATTTTTTACCGTTGGGTGTCATTTAATTTTTTAACGTTGAAAATAAAATGCTGAGAAAGTTCCGACGTGCTTATCACGTGGCTACTTTTCCAAGTTGATTTCACGTCGCAACTGATATGCCTTATTGATTGTTCCGACGTGGTATTCACGTGGATACTTTCCCATGTGTTTACCACGTCACAAATTAGACTATATAATGCCAAATCTCAGAACCCTCCTTTCACACCTTTCTCTTTTCCTTCCTTCTTCCTTCTCCATTCTTCATTCCTTGCTTGCGTTATCCGTGCTTCCTCTCCTCCTTCACTGCATTTCACAAACATTTTTAATAGGTATGGTAAATGTTACATTCTTACTTTTTATTTTTGTTTTACATTTTATTTTAATTTTTTCTTATTATTAATTTTTAATTTTTTTCCAGAAGATTAAGATTTGGAAGATTCAAGAAGAGCTCATCAAGTCTAAACATTTAAGTTTTAGTTTTGCTCCATTGAGGTATTTATGTAATTTAAATTATTTTTTTTCCAAATTTATAGGTATATGAAATGTTTGGTTGTTGTTGTATAAAATTAGAATTTATTGATTATATATGAAAAACAGAATATATATTATATTTTAAATGTGAATAATATTGATTATATATGAATAATATACAATTGGTTGTTGTTGTAGTATTTAAATATGTTATTTTTATTAAAAACAGAATATATATTATATTTTTAGTATATATAATTGTAAAAAATAATTTTTAGAAAAAACAGATTTTAAAAAATAATGAATATATATTATATTTTAAATGTGTTATTTTTAATAAACAAATTATATATTATATTTTAGAATATGTATTATATTTTAGTAAACAGAATATATATTATATTAGAAAAAACATAATTTTTAAAAATATTTTTAGTAAACAAAATTATAAATAGAAAAAATTAAAAAGTATTTTTTAAAAAACATAAAGTTATGTAGATTAGAAAACAAAATTGTAAATATTTTTAGAAAAAGTATTTAGCAAATAGAAGTATTTTTATTAAAAAATAATGAATATGTATTATATTTTAAATGTGTTATTTTTAGTAAAAAATTTATATATATATATATATATATATATATATATATATATATATATATATATATATATATATATATATATATATATATATATATATATATATATATATATATATATATATATATATATATATATATATATATATATATATATATATATATATATATATATATATATATATATATATATATATATATATATATATATATATATATATATATATATATATATTATATTTTAGAATATTATATTTTAGAATATGTATTATATCTTAGTAAACATAATATATACTATTTTAGAAAAAACTGATTTTTAAAAATAATGAATATATATTATATTTTAAATGTGTTATTTTTAGTAAACAAATTATATATTATATTTTAGTAAACAGAATATATATTATATTAGAAAAAACAGAATTTTTAAAAATATTTAAATTTATTTTTATTAGGTTAAAATGTATAATTAGATTTTATATTTTTATAGTAAGAAAATATTTTTAAAATAATGTTACAAAATTAGGTTGTTGTATAATATGAAGTAATATTGAAGTAATATTTTAATTTATATTAGGTTAAAACAATGTGAAAAGAATTATATTATTTTGCATATATTAAAATCACATATTTAATTAAAATGATATATAATGATAGTACAAATATGCAGTATGAAATATTTTCGTTACTATCGTAGTTGGATGTACGATAGAACGTTACCAGGCAGACGTGGACTTACACCAAATTTTGAGGAAGGAGTTAAAGCGTTTATCACGTGGACATTTGCACAAGAATGTTGTCGACGTGAAGGAGGAGTAAGATGTCCTTGGCTTAAATGTGAATGTAGACCTATAATTAGTGATCCAAAGGAAGTATAACGTCATTTGAAGAGGAAGAATTTCATTAAAAATTATTAGGTTTGGACATATAATGGAGAACAATTGTTGAGTAACGTACATGCAGAGATAACTAATACACACGCATCAAGCAGTCAATCACATATGGAATTTGAGGAACAATTTAATCTGATCAATGATATGGTTGGCAATGCATTTGGAGTAAATGTGACATATGATGAACCTCAAGATTTTGATGGGGAAGAGTTGTCGAATGAGGAAGCACAAAGATTTTATCAATTGTTGAAAGAAATGAATACACCGTTGTTTGAGGGGTCGGCAGATTCAAAATTATCAATGTGTGTGAGATTATTGGCCACAAAGTCAAATTGGAATGTTCCTGATCAGTGCTTGGAATACTTTGCAAAAATGATGTTGGATGCGACTCCTACGAAAGACAACTTGCCTACAAGTTATTATGATGCAAAGAGGCTGGTGTCGAAGTTGGGTTTAGAAGTACGAAAGCTTGATTGTTGCATAAATGGATGCATGTCATTTTATGACAATGAGTTTGGTATTAATGATGAAGCGCTGGAGAAATGTAAGTTCTGTAAGAGTCCGAGATATCAAGTTCGTAGTAAAGCCATTAACTATAAACAAAAACGTGTAGTAGTGAAGTCCATGTTTTATTTGCCGATAATACCAAGGTTAAAAATATTGTTTACTTCAATGCACAGTGCAAGTCAAATGACATGGCATCATACAAACAAAACAAGTTCATGCATTATGCGGCATCCATCTGATGGTGAGGCATGGAAACATTTTGATAGGGTACATTCTGATTTTGCTGCAAAACCTAGAAATGTCAGGCTTAGACTATGCTCTGATGGTTTTACTCCATATGTCCAAGCATCCGCAATTGCATATTCCTGTTGGTCAGTTATCGTAACCCCTTACAACCTCCCTCCAGAGATGTGCATGACAAAACCATACATGTTTTTGACTTGTCTCATTCCAGGATCGTCAAGTCCTAAAGCTGGAATCAATGTTTATTTACAACCTTTAATAGATGTGTTGCGGTGAAATTTGGATCTCAAGCTATTGATTAACTTGAATCATATTTCATTTACAACCGGACTTTAATTTATCCAAAAAGGAAAGGTTTAAAGAAAGAAAGACCTATAAAAATACAAAGTAGAAGGACAAGGCCTAAAGTTGAGCAAAGAGAGATCTAAAGGTTCGGGGGTTGGTTATACCTAGGGAAGGTGTTAGCATCCTAAGTATCTGTAGTACTCTACAGGAACCTCTTGTTAATATTTGTGTTTGCTACAATTTTCTTGCTAAGGGAAAAGTACTAAGGGTATTAATCTAAAGATGTAGAGGGTATGTACAAAGTTTGCTCGCGAAGACATCGCATCTCGTGCCTACGTATCCGGACGAGAATGGAATCAGAGCAATCGTAGTTCCCCTATCTAGGGATGAGGAACTCTTGACTGTGGTCAAGGTTTCCAAAGGGAAGTAAGTATTCATAGGGAAGTACTTACATGGAGTGCGGCGACTCCTCTTCTAAGTTAAGATTGTTATGATGGAATGTCCACGGCGGGACGCTAAACATGAGTACGGCGACTCAAATCCTAAGGCTAGGATAAAGGGGAGTAAAGGTTGTCCGCGGCGGGACGCTAAACATGAGTACGGCGACTCAAATCCTAAGGCTAGGATAAAAGGGGAGAATGTCCACGGCGGGACGGTTAAAAGTGAGTACGGCGACTCGTGTGAAAAGGAAGTTTGTTGTTATGTACAAGCAAATTATGTACAGATAAATTAGTTTAACCTCTTAATTTAGGAGGAAAGTATCATGGGTTCATGGTGACAACCATTAAATGAGCACATGAAATTGATAAGGATGAAAATGCAATGATCACAATCAA